ACTCTCTATGTTATACCACCAATTAATTAATACAGTGAATTCCATTGAAACAATTAAAAAAATCGTAACCTCGCGCTTTGATACACCCTACATATAACATAGCAAATGAATGAAGTCAATTAAAATTATTTGACAACCTGAAAACAATCAAATATGTATAACTACCTGCAGGGTGTTATTCTCTAACATGTTGGTATTGTTGAACAGGCAAATTTATAAGGAATTGTATGCTAAAATATGTTGCCTTTGAAAAAATTAAGTAAATTAAACCTCAAAGTAGCCATATATAAGACAAATTTCAAAACACCCGGTATAAAAGAATCCAGCACTATCAACACTATTTGTTATCTTAATGTGCTACAAGTCTGTATATTAAACAATTTTGAAATTAATGTAATCCTACCCAAATTATGATAATTTAATTTGGGGTCTGCATATCATTCTCTAATTTCATAAAAATTTAATTGCTTGGCAAACCTGTAATAGTTTTTTTAAACATTCTAGGCTTGAATACAGTATTACCAAATCATTCTAAAACTGAAATAAAATACATGTTGTTCTATTTAAAAAATATGCCAGGCAAAAATATAACACCCTGTATATCCAAAAATATTTTTAAAATATGTATTTTCTAAATCCATATAACTTTTCTTTGAAACATGTTTGCGTGTCTTTAACACAATTTAAAATATTGAACAATTACGCACTAATGGGACATACACAAGGGTACATATACACATAGCAGTCAACGTGTTAATTCAGAAATAAAGTTCCTTATAAAGATAAAATAACATTCATTAGAAGAAAGCAAATCCCGCAAATATTACGTGCGTACCATACAGTGATGCCAGGTCATTCGGATTCAAATTACATCTCAATGCAATAAAGTTCCTCTCCCGCATTTCACCCACTTTAAAATTAAATTCGCCTGAGAAAAAATTGTGAAATTATCGTATAAATCGATATTTATTGTACATCTGGCAACGTGGCCAATACTTGTTCATACGCAAGGAACACAAATCGATAATTTTGTATCTGGAACGCAAAGCGAGACAAATATATATGAAAATCACGAAACAATAAAAGACGGCATACAGCTGTATCATTGTTTCAAAAATTGGTACCTCTAAACAATCATTTACCTATTAAAACCATCTCTAAAACAGAGTAGCTAGATTTTTTTTACGGTGACATCTTCTTAAAAATAGATGAACTACATGAACTATACACAATTACAGGAATTCATAGAAAATCTCTAATTTGACAAATAAATTTATCAAATATTTGTTAATCGTATTTCCAGTTAGATTTGAAAAATACGCAATAAAATTTAGAAATATTTTGGCGGGATACTTGGAAAAATATGTAGAATGAAATCTCCTACTTTTTAGCCTGTGGTTTTAAAATCACTTTTTATGATTTTTTTTAAAATTCAGTGTATAAACAGGACAAATAAAAAATAGGAGATTTCATTCTCCAAACCTTATACTTTAAGCTGGTAGAAGATTCATTTTAATACATTTAGCGGGATTTAAATGCAATCGGAAATGGTGAACCCTTGCTTCTTATATGAAAAATATAGTGATACTGCGCCCTTAACAATACTACTATCTTCAATTCGATAGTAGTTTACTTCAATTCGATAGTAGATTACTTCAACAGTGCTATTAAAATTAAATACTGGAATTTGATTAATTGCAGTGTCTGAGTATACAGTAGAAAAAAAGGCAGAAAACAAATTAACAATTTCTTGATTGTTGTTACTTGTTAAGTTACTATATGTCATAACAGAAGGCAAGTTGTAAGATTTTTTCTTAACATTAATATATTTCCAAAAAGATCTGGGAATATTTTTTATATTAATTTCAGTTTGTCTAACATAGTTTTCATACAACTGACTGCTTAGTTGCTTATAATGATTCCTAATGTCCGAGAAAATAACAAAATCGTCATTGTAAGTATTGTTTATAACGTTTGTGGGCAATTTTTTTCATAAATAAGATGTTTAACTTCTGTATTGAACCACACAGGAAATGTTGAAGTTTTAAATCTTTTTATAGGAATTAATGCATTAATTATTTCATATAGTACCGTGACAGGCTTCTGGTTCACCTACAGTGAATCAGCGAGTCTGTGTGGCGCTATGAAGGTGATTCCCGAATAGGAGTTGCTCAGGCGCCAGTTTTGGTATCGCAGTTTGCTCTGCGACCCTGTGGTACACCAGAGTGCACTTTTGCGCGAGAAGATCTGGATAGGAATTTTACCGCTTCATATTCCTGGGCTGCAATCAGTTTCTCCCTCAGCGTCTTGTGATGTTGAAGACGTAGGACTTGCTGTATTTCTGCATCTTGTAATCCATCAATGAATGCCTCTATTCTGATTTGTTCTTGGAAATCTTTGGGCGCCTGTGGATAGGCCAGATGAATCAATCTTCTTATGTCGGCCCCGAATTCCTGTAGACTCTCATTATGTTTCTGACTACGAATTTTTAGCTGGCTTTGAAATACCCGTTTCAAATGCTGCTGGCCATATCTTGTCTCCAAAGCTTGGACGAGAGATGAATAACTGGGTTCTTCTTGAGGAAGTAACTGTAACACGGTTGATGCTTGTCCTCGCAGCGACACTATTAATGCATCCGCCATCTCCGTTTCAGCCCAGCCATTGGCTCTAGCTGCAGCTTCAAATTGGAGGCGATACGTTTCCCATGTTGTCTGCCCGTCAAACGTGGGTGGCTTAATGATCTTGCTAGTATGGATTTGTGAAATTGGGTGTTGAATATGGCTTGGTTCGATTACAGATGAGGACGAGGTAGTGTTTTCAGCTTCTCTGTTGCTTATCGAAGCTAGGATACGAATTCTTCTTTCTAACTTAACTAGTTCAGTTCTAAGTTGCCTTTCGAACTCTACTCAAGCCTTTTCCTGTTGTTTCAAATTATCTCGTTGTTGTTCTAAATTAGTTTTTAAATGCTCTTGCTGCTGTTCTAAATTAGTTTTTAAATGCTCTTGTTGTTGTTCTAAAAGATCTACTCTGATTTTGAGCTGACCAATCTCTTGCTTAAAGGTTTCCTGGATTTTTAGCAACTTCATAATTTCTACCTGATCTTTTTTATGCCTCTCTTCCTTTTTTTTTTCTCGTCCTTCTCTTTTTCCTCGTCCTTCCTGCATATTTCCTTCTCCTCTTCTCGCCTTTCCTTTTCCTTCTCTTCTTCCTTTCTACGCCTTTCTTTTTCCTCCTCTCCTTCCTTCCTACGCCTTTCCTTTTCCTCTTCTCGCCTTACTCTCTCCTCCTCTTCTTCCTTCCTACGCCTTTCCTTTTCCTCATCTTCCTTCCTACGCCTTTCCTTTTCCTCATCTTCCTTCCTACGCCTTTCCTTTTCCTCCTCTTATTCCTTCCTACGCCTTTCCTTTTCCTCCTCTTATTCCTTCCTACGCCTTTCCTTTTCCTCCTCTTCTTCCTTCCTATGCCTTTCCTTTTCCTCCTCTTCTTCCATCCTATGCCTTTCCTTTTCCTCCTCTTCTTCCTTCCTACGCCTTTCCTTTTCTTCTTCTCGCCTTACTCTCTCTTCTTCCATCTTCAAAAACCATGCTGGTGGGCCTGAAGTATCCGTGCTTGCTTCGTACTCAGTGGATCTAGTATTTACCATGAACTTCTACTTTGTATCCCACCGCTGCCACCAATGTTACGCTGGTTTTTGGTATCACAATTTATTTTAACTAAACTTTAACAACAGTATACAACTGATACAATAACTCCAACTAACATTAACCTTTAACGTCTATCATAAAACTGCACTCTGATGTCAGGTCGTCGCCTCATATAGCTTGCCTCGACCTTCTAGTACCTTCTCGAACAATTTGGACTTTTCTTTGACAAGGAATGACATTTCGAGACATTTCGGGAATATTCTATCTTCTTCATTTACTCGTACCTTTACTTATGACGACCGCAGCACGCTACAGGGTGCTGCATAACAATATTATACCCTGTTACACCTAATTCGGCATCTGTAAAATTTTTATTTAACCATGTCTCTACTAATATAATTATACTGTAATTGGTACATGAAACACCCTGATGTAATTGCACTAGCTTGGTGCGCAAACCTCCCACGTTTTGGTAGTAAATGTTTAATTTCGATTTTTTATCACATCTTTTTCTTTGTGGTTGCTATGAATTATAAACATTTCTGGATTTCGTTCTTTCAATGGCTCTTCTATATGCTTCACAAGTTTTGTTAAAAACATTATGATTGTAAGATACATTCGGAACCTTATTGGCTACATATTTACAATTAGAACACTCGAATTTTTGGACTGGACACAGGATATCTTTTTAATGTACTTCGCTACATATAGGACAAATCCTGTCTTTATGTTTACCATTTTTAGCTTTATGTCCGTATTGCCAGCATTTGAAACATCTTAAAACATCTACAAATTCATAGATAGGACATCTATCCCAGCCCACATATATTTTTTGTCTTCAAATGGAACCAAACAGATTAAAGGGAATTTCTAAAACTACGTTAAATGCACTCTTATTTTTAGGTTTATATTTCCGCACAACTTTTATTTCATCCTCGCCTATATCACTGAACTGCGTATCACTTTCAACAACATTCTCCGATTCTTTTAAATTATCTTCACTTATTCCCACTATTAGCACTTTTGGATTTATTTGTTTTGGGATTTTAATTTCATATTTCTCTCCAAGTTCACTGACCGCTTTGTTTTGCAATTTTTTTAAGGATTTAAGTTAAACAAATTTGCTTCATTATCAAAATCTATGAGTATATGATGTGCATTGTCTTTTTTATTATTATTATTATTATTTTTTTTTTTTTTTTTTTGAGAAAGAAACATTGACTAATTATTATAGAAAAAGTGTTTTAAATTTTTCGAGATGGATAATATATTTTATTGCATTTGCATAATAAGAGTTTTCCATTTCCTTATCAGTTAAAAAGGAATTATTAACATTATTTGTTTGTTCTTGTACAGTCCTTCAGAGAAAATCCAAACAAAGATGACCGTCAATGAGTACATCCAACTTTTTCTATGCACACATGGTTATTTTCATGCAGTAATGGAATTAAAACAAGCAGAATTGTCAGTGAAAAGCTTAAATTCCGTAATGACAGCTTTGGTAGCCACCCAAAGTTTCACCAGAGACATGCTCATCAAATTAACTACGATCAACTTGTATGCCTTTTATCATGTCAGTTCTGATTTAAATAATATACACGAGTTGACTAACGATGAGAAAAAGGTTAGAGAGCTTGTATTGGAGTTAATAGCAGGGTCTCTGTGTGCATATTTGGTGCCGGTACATACTCTTAAAATGGACGAAGGGCTTATGGACTATTATGCTCTGCCAGCTGGTAAGAATTAATTGAACTTTGACAGGATTAGTATACAGAGTGAGGCATATTTGACTTTCATAGCCAGGATTTAAAAGATACTGGGGTCTATTCTGTAACAATTCCTTTGTATTTAACGGCCTTTAAAAATATTTTCTTCTTTACTTCTGTCATTATTTAAACGGATCTTTAAAATACATTGAAGAACTATCTTAAAGAAATCTGTTTAATTAATGACAGAAGTAAATTAACGAATACGAAAATATTTTAAAGGCCGCCAATATTTTTAAAGGCCGTTAAATATAAAGGAATTGTTACAGAATAGACCCCATTGAATGGCATTATGTTTAGTAAAAGTAATAGTTATTTTCTGTAAATAAAAAATAAATAAAACTATAAATTTTTTAGTAAAAATATTGCTGTATTTTATACAAAATGACTCCGCTGTATTGAAAGAAAAAGTCTTCACTAATCGACTGCAAATATGGCCAAGTCTAGTCAAATTGTTAAATAGTGTCCAGCAGTACATCAAAGGATTCAATTTTAACAAATGTATGTATATTCAGCATAAGAGAAACTCTAAATACAAATTTGACACAAAGAAAATAAAAATTAATGTGTAATAATTTTATATTTTTGATCGTTTTAGATACTAAAGTGCCATTGTCGGAGGATAAAATGCTTGAGGGTTTTTTACCGCTGTCCAAAAATTTTAAGGAATTTGATTTCAAAGATGAGATTGACGATGTTAAAATTGAAAGACTGGTTAGAATGAGACGTATAATTAAAATAAGCTTATGGTTGACTGATTTAGATGTAAATGGAAATAAATTGATATTAAAGTGAGTAGCAAGAAGTAATACTTCTAAAATTTAAAATAATATGAGTTAGGGAAATAAAATAACATGAACATTTTTACACAAAAATATTACAGTATTTTTTTTGCTTTTAAGGAATGAAATTAATGGTGATACTATTTTTGAACCTGTTTGTATACAACCTGATCCGACCAATGATTTATTAGAAGAAATGAAATCTTTTAGTGTAGCTGATAATACTGAAAATACCGCCAAGAAAAGTAAGTAGTGCATAATATACAATGAACCTTTTACATAATTTTATAAAGCAAAAAATGATCAGTTAAGTAATTACTATTCTTTTTTTAGACTTGGAGAAGAAGGCGGGTATTCTTAAACCGCAGGGTTCTTTAGAAAAGTCTAGGGAGGAGAGAGAAATGTTGAATAATACCACAACAGATTCTCCTTCCATTGGCAATTTTAATTCGATTGCTATCAAAGTCGATAATTCAAAAAACAAAAGAAGTAAACAAAATGTGGCGTTGCAGTCTATATTTAAGAAAATGGAAGAAAGTAGCAAACAAGTAAGTGAAGTACAATAACTTTATATAACATTTTTGATCAACATTTAAATTTTTGAACAGTGCAGCTTATAAATTGATGTAACCAACAATCAGTAATGACACTCTGATACAGCACCTTAAATCTTTAAAAATATACATTTTATCCGATACTTGACATTTCCAGGATATACATTTTTTTCTTTAAACTGGTTGTTAGTTGAACTGTTGTTTGTAGTCTTTTAACCACGTGTGCAATACAGACAACACAAATTTTGAAAAGACATTAAAGTATACTAAATTAGACTAAAAAAATTGTCACGTTTTGCTTGTATTAAGAATTATCCCTAAAACAATTTTTGTCAGTTTGTAGAATTTAATTTTGTAATTGACATCATTTACTGCAAAATTCACCAGAACTGCGTAGAGAACTTATAGTCAAAAAACCAGTAATTTTTAGTAACGTGTTGAGCACGTGGCTGGAAATTTGTAGATTTATGATTTAATACCAGCTGAATAAGGAAATAATGATCTGACAGGGATACCGCGGTTTTTTGACATTTAAATTTTTGAAAATATCAAAAAAATTGTTAAAATGAATGTGTTTTTACAAGGCTAACACTTATTTTACCAACATATTAACAACTACTAGGCCATTCTGGCGGTTGCTAGTGCCCGCCAGACGAGTATACAGGATGAGCCACTTAAAAGTTTTACTCCCTCTTATTTTCGTTATTAATTGAGATATCTGAATGTTTTTTTTTGTTTGGTTTTGTATTGTAAGACTTTTTACTTTAAAAGTATTCTCTTATTTTTAGCAATTTCATCAAGGACTTCAGTTTCCGATAAATTATTTTCTGTGTATATATTTAATACAGCAAACCAATTTAATCCTCTTTGCCTATACTATTGCATCCCTAGAGAGTCCCCCCCGTGTGAACTGAAGCCGACTTGTCAATGCAACTTGAAATTTGATAAGAGGTTTCTACTTCGTACCTCCATTTGAAATAGTTACTTTAATTATATTTTCTGACCATCTAAAGTAATTTTTTTATATATTTGTTAGATCTAGGATATGCAAGGATGTGTGCATCATATATGACACACAGAATATATCGAGAAACATTTAAAACGTGTTTCTATTTGTTAATGTTTTATATGTTTAGTAACTTCACCATATTATTTCAAATAATTCAAAATCTTGGGGTTTGTAAATAAATTGTGATGCACATTAAGTTTGAAGAAATCATCTGTAACACGATTAGATCGAAAAACAGTAATTTTCAAACCTTTATAAGAAATCTATTTTATTTAAAACTACTTAGTATGTATGCAATACGACGCATGCATCAAATGAGATGCACAGGGCAGGTAAAGGGTTAAATTTTAAAACAGAAACGTTTAATTTTACAAAATTGTCCACTTAGAATGTGATTTTTACATCACTTTTATATTTGGCAACGTCTCAAAATTCATAACTTCGATTATAATGTATTAAGATCCAAGTGATAACCTCAAAAAACTGGAACGAACTGAGCTCCGCCCTTCTGTCACCTTGGAGGTTTCAGCTATATGGTACTAAACATATCAAAATAAATCTTTTAAAATGTCGCAATTCAAATCTAACTTGTGAATAATCAAGTTAACTCAAATCAAACATTTTTATTGTACGTTAACGTCTCAATGACAAAGCTAATAACAAAAAGATAGAAGATCCAAGAAATAGATATACCTAGAGAAAAACAGTACAGTAATACATAGATAAAATTAACAATGATTAATAATAATAACAATAATAATAATTTATTTAAAATTAATTCTGATGCCTTGGTAGGATTCCCCACTCGACCATTCACTGTTGGATTCTATCTCTGTATTTATAAAGTGTGGAGGGTGGGTTACCCCCACGGCACTTAGGACTCATTAGGCACATTGTGCATCCTCCTAAGATGCTAGGCACCTCCTAGCTCGTGAGGCAGCCAACAGATTTAATGTACAACGTCGCCAAGAGGTGCTTCTCTTATATCGGCCGGTGTTAGCCGATACTCGCCGAACACAAATCTTCTAATAAATGAGACAGCAATCGTAAAGGATATGCTCGATGGTCTCATCTTCTTCTTCGCACCCTCTGCAGAGTGCGGATTCTGACAGCCCCATGATATGGAGATGCTTCCGTACTTGGCTGGTGCCTGTGACTAGGCGCAGATTCTCTCTAATCATAGTCAAGTATTTGTTTGCTGCAGTGTTGTCAGGATAACTTAAGAGCTCCCTAGCAACTGTGCAGTTTCTTGTTTCATCCTTGAATTTCACAAGGGAATGTTCTTTAATTAGGTCTGTCACTACCGATTTTATCCAGGTCCAAAATGTATTTGGTTGGCTGCTTTCTTGGCTAGTGAATCAGCAAGACGGTTTCCTTTCGATGTGGCGTGACCTTTGATCCATCTTAAGGTGACCACATTGTTGATGGATACTTCGTCCAAAGCTTCGTGACATTCTAGTACTAACCCTGAGTAAATTCGGGGTCTGTTTAGGGTGAGTAGTGCTTCTCTGCTATCTGTATAGATGAGCATATTCTTTCCAATGATATTCTTTCTGATTATTTCTTTTGCTGCTATGAGAATCCCCGTTAGCTCTGTTTGAACTACACTGGCATTATTGCTCACAGCCCATTTTATGTTTAGGTTTAAGAATCTGGAGTATATTCCACATCCTGAGCCTTTTTTTGTTTTAGAACCGTCGGTGTAGATATGAATCGTACCTGCCACTTCTGGCTCTTCTATTTGTTCAATTATAACTGTATATGGCTTATGAAAGATATATCTCGGTGAGATGGAGTCCACGTTCGCCTCACCAGATCTTACATTATGTTCTATTCCAACCATTCAGAGGTGTGTCATTGTCGTCAGAGCAACCTCCTTGATGAGCCTTTCATGGCTCTGGTTGGTGTTGTTTTCATGGCTCCTGTTATGTTGAGACATGCTGTTCTTTGAATTTATTCTAGTTTACGGATAGCTGTTAATTTTTGGGTTTTCGGTACCCAGACAACTGCACCGTATGTTGGCATAGGTCTTATGACTCTGGGGGAGAAACCCCAGATGCGTCCCACGGTTCTTGCTGTCAAAGGTGAGACCTAGGTACTTCACCTCTGTTGCAAAGTTTAGTTTTGTGTTTAGGAGTTCTGGAGGTTTTAATTCCATTTTCATCCTTTTCCTTGTGAAAAGGACCATTTCTGTCTTCTCAGGCTTGATAGACAGTGAATGGTTCTTGCACCACTGTTCTATGATTTTTAGAGTTACTTGCATTCTTTCGCAGAGTATGTTCCCAAAATTTCCTGTTTCCAGAATGACCAGGTCATCTGCATATGCTATTGTGTAGTGACTATCATTATTGAGGCGGCTGATCAGGGTGTCGAGGACCATATTCCACAGTAGAGGTGACCGCACTCCTCCCTGTGGACATCCCCTCACAACCAAGCCTCTTATATTCACATATTCTACACTTATGTTTACTGATCGCTTTGAGAGCATGTTATGTATCCACCCACTAACCATTTGTGAAACATTCCTGTTGGTTAGTGAGTGTATTATTTTTGGGAAGGTGGTTTTATCAAAAGCACCTTCTATGTCTATGAAAACACCCAAGGCGGACTCCTTATTGTCCAGGGATCTTTCTATCCTGTTGGATTCTAATTAACAGTGCTAAGAAACAGTAACAAAGCCTACACAAAACGAGACGAAATAACCATAGTAGTTGAAGCAATGTTACTTAGTCATATTTTATTAATTAATTTCAGTCCAGACCATCCTCAAAAAATCTCCAAACAAATAATAATAATAATATGCCTTTCCTATAAGAAGCTTTTTACTTCCCGTCTAAATTTGCATTTATTTTCAATTCTTTTTAGATTAAAGGGTTAAAAATTGATTTTTTTACTATTCTTTAATATAGACTGATTAGGGTGGTAGTAGGAATGGGTAATGAAACACAGTAAGTACGTCTTGTATTATGATAAGAATTAGCGCTGATTAGATTTTATATTTGTACATGATCACTGACGTTTCCAAAATATAAATAAAATAATCTATTAATATTGGGTAAGTCATTGATGTACAATAAAAAAGTAGTGACCCCGAAACAGATCCTTGATGTTCACCATTGTCAATAAGACGATAATTTGAGATATCATTCTTAACCACTACACTTTGGACGTATGTTTAACAAATAATATTTCAACCATTCTAAAGCCATATCCCTGAAACCATATTTTCCTATTTACTTAATAATCTGTGATTTACACAAACGCCTTAGATAAATCACAAAAATACTGGTTCCAAATATACTTTCTATAGAAAAGAAAATATGGTGTCTGAAGTATTTTTATTGGATTGGAAACCAAATTGTCTAAACGATACTGAGTGGTCGATGACTTCTTTTTCAATCACTCAAAAACAATGTAAATAAAACAAACATTTCTATTAATTATTTATTCGATTCGGTTTTCTTAACTTATTAGTAAATAAACACAACTTACCCCACAAACTATTCTTTCTACTCAAATAACGAACAATAAAGCTCGAATTATGAGCTGTCTGCACATGGTAATGAATTTTCATCCTGATTTGTGACTTCTGCAAAATGTCAGCGCAGTAAAGGTTGCGCGATATTTTCCCGCCCATTACCGATTGTTTGTGACTTCTGCAAAATATCAGCGCAGTAAAAGATGCGCCTCTTTTTCCGCCGCCCATTACTGATCGTTGGTTATGCTGGGCTTGTAATTTATGAACATAATTGATGGTATTTAATAGATTTGTTATTAAATTTAGTTTTTTAATTCATTACCATTATTTTTTTTCGAGTGTTACAAAAAAGTAATCATTGAAAACGAAAGCTGTGAATATTTTCTAAGCTTTTATTGAAATATTTTCCAATTAATTGGTTTCAGCCATAACAGAGTTCACCATACTTTCTTTTCACTTTTTAACATTTCCCAACCAATTATCTTTTAGAATAATTGTTGCATAATAATAGTCTTGATCAATAATTTTATCAGAAAATAATTTGTTAACTTGTATTATATTTTTTTATTCAGCCAAAAGTCGTACATTGTTAAATCGGGCAAATATGGAGTGGCTACACTTGATAGACATAAAAAATGTCCGCCTTTTTGCCTTTCGAAATTTAATAAATGTTCCTTTCAAACAGTGATTTAGTTCTACAAATATTTTAAGGACAGCCATTGTAATAATGTCTTTCACGTATCTATTTTTAGGTTAAATTCATAGTTGATGATTCCGACAAAGAAAAGTCGGTGAAATACGACTCGATACCCGCTCAACAGAACCAAAAACCCCAACAACCTCCAAATCAACTCTTCAACCAATCTCTAAGAAACCAACCTTTTAACCAACCTTTAAATCAACCTTTAAACCCGTCTTTCCCTATAGCTCCTCCGTCGCAACCAGACTACTTAACGGCGCTCAGAAACATGCCCAACATGCAAATCGGCGACAATAATTACCAATACCAGAAAAAAGATCCCAGCATTCCTAATATCGGTGTCCAAATTATGCCACCGTATCAAAACATGCATCAAAATATTCAAGGTATCCCAAATAATATCCCGAACAAAAACGTTCCTGTGAATATGAACGTTAATTCGATCAATCAAAAAGCTCCGATGTCTTATCAAAATTCTTTTCCTTCTACTCCTTATCAAAATGTTTCCTTTCCCTCATCTCATCCTTTTAATGCATGGAAGAGGGATGATGTTCCGCTGATGCCTAATCCTAGTTGGTGGCAAAATAACCAGCAAACGCCACAACAGAATTATCGTCCAGATTATCCCTTAAATTATAATCCATCATTTTCGGGGAACGTGTCTGCTAATTATATGCAACAGGGTAAGTTTGATTTTTTTATTGGACAATGACCAGTAGTGTTGAGGGTGTGTTAAATGAGCAGTTGGGCTGGTCGAATGACTAATCAGCTGATCGGTCAGGGTCAGTCAGAACGGTCGAGATGTTTTGTCTAACTCTGGTAGTCAAAACTGTCTGCAGAATGATCAATTATCAGTTGTTATTGCACTTGCATATACAAAAAATAATCTTCAACTATTTAATATCAGTGAGTTGAGTATTTTAAGACTTAACATAATGTCAAACCCTAATGATGACCCATATTTAAACAACTAATTAATTAAAAACAAATTTAAGGTGCCTGTACTTGTACTTTTTTGAAAAATTAGAACTATACAGTTTCGACTTAATTGTTCAGCAACCGGTCTGCCTATACCACTTGACTGTTGACTTAACGCAACCTGAAATGTCCATAAATTGATTTTTAATCGGTTTTTAAGGTCTAACTAGTAAGCCGACCAACCAAACTAACAACGGGGATCTTTTTGGTTCCCCTTGGAGCAATTATTTGGGTAATTTCATGAACGAAGGACCTAATACGGGTAGTAGTAATATGGGTTTCGAAAACACTAGTCAGGGTATGTCTGTTAGACAGGCGATGCTTAAAGAGGCAAATTTACCAGGAGCACCAGTTGGATCGCGTAGTGGTAATTTGGGAAGATTACCAAATGTCAATCAAGTGAGTTTTTATCTTTTTTTTATGTGAAACCTCAAGAGGATAAAAGCGATTGTAATCTTATATTTTGTTTCTATTTTTGTTTATACAGTATTGGCCATCGAACACCTATAAATGGCAGCGTTGATACCATTCGTTTTCAGTTCGCTCCAATGTCAACTCTCTGTAGCGTTCACTCGAACTTGTGCCAAGGGATATTGGAAGATGTTCGGTGGCCAATACTGTATTTATATAGAGTGGCGAAAAATGTGCGTTATTTCAAGACGAATTTATGGTTCTTAAAAATTAAAAAATAACCTTTTTTTTTTGAGGGTCAGATACTTTTAGTATAGGTTGGCTTCATTTTCAAAACGACGTTTCTTCTTTATAGAGCCTTTTTCACTTTTCTTTTAATACGGACCTGTCCTTTTTGTTTCATTTCAAAAAATCTCCATATTTTTTTTTTATCTCTATTTAACAGGTAACTATACTTTAAGGATTTTTGTAAGTATGATCCTGTTTTATTTTTACCCTAAATAATTATAAATATTTTTAATTAAAAAAACTTGAGTGTAGAACTATGATTTTTTTTAAATAACTGTCGAAAAAAAAATAATTTTTACACCCACATGGATTATCTATTTTACGCACAGACTACAGAACGAAAAAGTAGGCCATTGCTATTTAGCGAACGGATATAATTTCATATTCATTCTAATAAAGACACTGTATGGATATGAAATCCACCAATCACAGTTCATATCTGATGGCCGGGCTACTATTATTTTTTAGAAACAAGTGACAATTCTCTTAAACTAATTGTCAGTATATTTTTTAGTTGTTGATCATAAATATAATATTTAAAATGAGTGATCCTTGTTAAGTATGGATAAATAATAGGATTATTCCACAAGATATTCGTCTGTATTTACAAATATATCGTAAATTTTTATAAAACTATCTAACAACATTATTGTTTGTCTCGTTAGCGCAAAGATAGCGTACTGAGTTCTCACGTGAAAGGTTCAGGGTTCAAATCCACTAATTAAAATCTTGACCTTGATTGAGGACTAATTAGAAACTTTTTCGAGTTTATCTTCTTTTATAAATTGGTAAAAGTTATGGCCATCATATTCTTTCTTGTTGGATAAATTACTATTAAACTATTGTAACGAATAACATTATAATATATCACACATAAATTACACAGGGCAACAAAAAAAAATTAACTGCAAATAAGCAATAAAGGATGAGGTATAAATAAAATGTCTATTTTTTGAACCTGTACTAGGTTCTGCAAATTAAATTACTGCACTCCTTTCTTCTCTGGACTATAACCGCGGGACACAACCTCTTTTTAAGAGGGAAACTCCTGATACTTGTGCCCAATTTAAACTACGTTTAATGGTTATTGCCTAATTACATTTTCGCCACCCTGTATATTTACATGATTATTCAACATACGGTCTTATCCCTGTTGAAACAAACCTTATCGAGCCATGTAACATGTATAGTTTAATTTTTTTTCCAGCCTCCACCCCAAGACCATTCTTTTGCTCAAACTCAAAACTCCACTCCTGGATACTCGTTATTCAACAACAGCTGGACTCCCAATCTTCCAGGGCAACTCAGAAACAACAAACCTGCCGAAAACAGTTTGAGCCACCTACCCCAGCAGTCGTTGTTCAGCGGCCAAGGACCGAAATCGTTAGCTCAGCTACTGGAACAACAGAGCCAGTTATCCAAGAACGATCTGTAAGAGTAAAACGTTACGAGACGGTGACGAATGTTAAAATTTTAAAAGGGAGAATACGATTACGACGAGACAATATTTCATATCCAAGAGCAATAATGTGAAGACCAATTCAGTACCTCTGAACGGATAAAATATTATGTCTTTTTACTGGAGAATATTTAATCATGATTTTTACAATTCATTGAAGTTTTCCTTTTAACGAATAATAGAATATAATTATGATAATGAGGATTAAACTGTTTTCAATTTAAATATTCGAATTATGATAAAAAAAAGATTGAAATTTGACGTAGATTTTATTTTAAGATATTTCAAATGAATAAATATTGTTATGGTTTTCTGTAAAAATCACCAAATATTATATATATTAGGACTATGAACACCAAATCAGTTTATTTTAAGTAGGTTGCACTACACGAAATATTTACAGCTGTTTGCAGAACTTTGTAGAAATGGGAGGGTTTATTTTATATTTTTTAAAGAACTGTAAAGAGAGGATATTTTTAACATATATTAAATAAATATATAAAACGAAATAAAGTCCAATTCTCAAATTTGACCAATTTAAAAATAAACAACAAAGGAAAAAGAGAAAATCTCAAAGTCCGTGTCACAGAAACGACGAGCAACCATTTCCTTCCTGAAGACAATTACTCTTTTGGATAATACCACAACAGGCGTTGCATTATATTAAAAGTAGTACTCCAAAATCCAAGGGAACTATACCTAGGAGCATGTCAAATAGAAGAGGGAGATTTACCTAACTTGTAGCCACTCCAAATCCTACACTTCCTTGAGAAGATAAGATTGAAAGGGTCGTTATAGGCATTGAGACATTTACTTGTTGCATTAGCGACAGAAGGGGACATAATAGATCTTTTAGGTTGCAGTGTATTAATGCCCTATCCCCAACATAACATTAACACTTTCACTGCCCGGCTCTCCAAGCCTGCGCATGTGCGGTACCCATTGTACTTATGTTTTTAAACATAGATATGTAGTTTAACTTACTTTATTTTTTGGATAAAAATAGAAATTATAGAATTTGATGAACTGGTAAAAAATAAAACAAAACCCATGAAGAGCGCACCCAGCGCTAGGCATTCAGTTATAAAAATACCCAGTAATTTTTTGCAAAATTATTTTATTCAATATGTGCTGAAAGCGGTAGCCGCGTTGTGGGCACATTAATTTGAGTCAACCAAACGCGGAAGCCGCGTTGTCGGCAGTTTGATTTTGCTCATCAGCAAGAAATAGACAATCTTTACTCAAATCTCTAATGGAGTTTGCCAGCTATACAAAATTAACCCTTAATTTTTCGGGATCTGGACGACTGCATTATGTCAATACTCTAAAACAAAATAATTAACAACTTACCTTTGAGATAACTAGTTAAAAATACTAAATTACCCAACAGAAACAAAATTTGATATTTGAAAATGTATACTGTTGGATAAAATCCAAAATAGTTTTAATGTCCGAGTCTATGGCAATTGTGAACTATAGGATACATAATAAAAAACTAGAAACTGCTGTATCTTTGACGATGTGAACTATAGTGTACATCTTAACAATTGGCCTAATTTTTCTACTTTGGATTATTTGTACATAAATATTTATAAACACAAACTCAAGAATAGCCCTTTACTTAACACTTTCACTACAATTATAACAAAAAATCAACAATTGACCACAATATTCTATACTACTTACCAGCGATTTCTTAAGGGCGTTTACTCGGCAAACATGTCGCAATTAAAATAGGTTATGTTTACACAATCTAATAAGTTTCAATACTAAACTTATATATAGACAATAGAATGAACATAAAATATTTGGTAAATAATTACAGTGATCTGACTTTTTCGAAGTTTGAAAGTTGCGTACCTTACAAGGGACAAAATCAAATTAAGGGTTAACAGAGAGTGAAGTCGAGATTGTCTATTTCTTGCTGATCAGTCCCAAACCGGTCCAATAATTACATTCTCCTTAAGAAGCAAAATCATTTTCTGTCTCTGCTACAGTAAAACTTCTCAATAGCGTCCACTAAAAATTTGATCACAAATTGGTCGTGTTTTGTGGGGATTAATTAAAATAAATGATCTACAATGTGTGATCTCAATAAAATTACTTATATGTACTTGCACAAAAAAGAGAGAAAGGATATTTTTTATAAATAGAGACGAAGATGTATCTATAGTAAAAGTAAATTCTTGATGATTATATTCACTTCACCCATGTTTTTTGGTTTGAAGTAAAATGCAACTTTATTAATTAGTGAGAAATTCTATTTACACAGAGATCATTTTACATATATACGAATATGTTAAACATATGCAATACTGTACAACAAAAGAAAAAAATATCTGAAAAAAATGTTCAATTGAATTTTAATGTTTGTAAAAGTTAACAATCTTCTTATCAATTATTTTCTATATTTCACTTTAAACTTTTTTATTACCCCCTTGATCCAATGGTTAGCAGTGAGATGTAGTGTTTAGAGGCAGAAAAACAATTCGAACATTTTCTAGCTTTATCCAAAAATAAAAGTATTTTTCTATTCTGCTTTTTAATTTTGTTGTCAACGTTTTTTAGCCAGGAAACCATTATCTCTGTTGTCATCCAAGCCTTTTTATTGAAGCCTCATTCTAATGATCTTTCTATATGTGCTCCTTTAAAACATCGCGGATTTTTACTTTTTCCTATAATTAATGGGTTTTCTTTCTCACCATTCATGTTGCTGCAAAGAATAATTGTCACTCGTTGCTTAGCTGATTTTCTACCAGCACATTTATCACTTTTTAAGGCAAAACTTTTGTTTGACATTGCCAGATAATAAAGTCCTGTTTCATCTGCATTAAAAATGTCTGTAGCATCATAATCTTTGATGATTAATGCACTCTTTGAACACTCACTTCATCGATATCAGCGGACTCACCATAAATTGTTTTAAAATTGATTTCGTGCCTTTTGCAGAACTTATCTAACCAACTATTTGATGCCTTAAAGTCATTATTTTACAAATTTTCTGATACCTCTAGAGTTTTTCCTTAATTAATGGTCCGGATATTGAAACTGTTTGTTTCTAGCTTTGCAAAACCAATCGTGAACCATTTGGTCAATCGCAAGTCGGTCTTCGAAAAAATTTTTCAATTCAGTTTTACTTTTTTGAATATCATCCACTTGTGTTTTTCCAACACCAAACTTTTCTGCTAACTTTCGTGCACTGTTAGTAAATGTCCGCGATGGTTTCCAATTTTTCTTTAAGCTTCAGAGACATTATGACTGTGTGTTGTTAAACTTTTAATATAATACATTTTAGCTCTTCCGGAAACAAATAAATTTCAATACATTCTGTAGTAATTAAAAAAGCTATTTATACAATTGCGTTTGATCCATTGTGTAGATTCTTTGGTATTTCCAATAATACCTACAATAGCCGCCCGCTGTTTGCAAACATTCTCAGATTTATGTCTGGGTATTAAGGTAGTTCACTTGTGAAACGGCTTTTCTTAAGAATTCAATAAAATTGAAATACAGTAGAACTCCAATTATCCGAACTCCGACTATTCGAATCGCCGATTATCCGAATCACAAATGCGCGTCAAGTCTTGACGGAGATGTTTAAAAAACAATGATTTTTATTTCTAAACTTGTACATAAGTACATTTTATTTATATTTAAAACATGTGAAAATTTCATGTTTCTTTCATTTAATTCAATAAAAAAATAGTGCAATATCAAAACGTAGCTTTTATTCTCTCCAATGGCAATTTTTTTAAAAAAAATCCGATTATCCGAATGGGTCCCGGTCCCCATTAATTCGGATAATTGGAGTTCTACTGTATAAGGTTTATGAAAGTGTCGTTTACGTAACTAAAAAAATTTGATTTTTTGACCGTCTGTGAAACGAGATATTAACAATCAAAATGTGCATAATTAACACTCTTGAAGCCTGTCATGTATACAAGCAATGCATTTATTTCAAGTTATCTCGAAAACGGTTGTTACCATATTTTTGAAAAACTAATGTTAAATAAATCAAGAAGTTATAAAATTTTATAAAAAATCGCTGAATTTTTTGACCGTCTTAGTAAAAAGAAATAGATTTTTAAAATAAAAATATTTTTAAAGCAGTTGACGAGTAGTTTCGTAAAATTATTACAACTTGGCAACATTGTAACCACTTCACGTAACAAAGTAACACTCAATCAGCTAAGAGGTTGTTATAAACTCGCGACGTGTTCTTGAAAAATTAATTCGTCCACTGTGTTTGAGAACTGGAATCAGTGGTGCTGTTTGAACCAAAACAAACCCTTACAATTAGTATGAGGAAGTCACAAATTTCTATACCATACTGTTCATATATTTGCGAGATTACCGGATGAATTTTATTAAAATTATAACATGTCCATATGTGTTTATATACATGTGTTTTGTAGTCTCTTACAAAAATAAAATTGATTAGCATTGAGAATCTCGAACTTTTGGTATTCACCATTATGCGATATTTTTATGTACGACTGTCGCGAGTGAACTACCTTAAGAGTAAAAATGTCAGTTAATTTTCTCAAAAGTTGGGAATTCAAGTGACCATGGCCGTTTTAATAGGGTTTTGGTATTGAAATCTTATTATATCAATTTAAGAAGCGCAAAACCGATCGTTAATAGCGGTAACCGCTTGAGAAAGGTGACAGAAATGAGAAGTTTCACTGTGTTTACCTTATATAATGCAATGCCTGTTGCGGATTAGCCAAAGGAGTAGTTGTTTTCAGGAGGGAAATGGTCGCTTGTTGTTTCTGTGACACGGACTTTGAGTTTTCTATTTCTTCTTTGTTGCTTATATTATTATTATTAATAAAGATCAGTAAGTGGTAAAACGATCTAGCATTGAAAGTCACATTTTTATTAACTACATAGTACATAACATTAAGATATAACAGAGCAGTTATCACAATACATTAACCTATATCACAGTTTATCATAAATGATCAATTGTACAGTGGACCATGATGTTTGAAGGATTTTTAAATTTTTTATCTAGATGATTCTTGAACTGGTTAACTGAACTCGATACGATAGTGTCATCT